TATATATATATATATATATATATGTGTGTATATATACACACACACACGTGTGTGTGTGTGTGTGTGTATTGTACTTAGAATTAAAAACTAAATAAATATTGATCAAATTAGATCTATTTTTAGGAGTTTTTCAGAAAGTTGAGCCAAATTTACCACAACATTCTTAACTTGGTCCAATAAAACATTTCTAAATTACAGACCTCGCATTACTTGAGTGAATGCATCTCACCCTCTGTCTTTCATGTTTAACTTTTAGATGATCAGCTTGTGTTGAATAAGGCAGTTACCGTATTGCTGTTTTGGTCAAACGTTAAAAATAGTATTATGATCTACAAAGTAAGACCAGGGCTATTCAACTGGTGGCCTGGGGGCCAAATCAGGCCCACGGGTGTGCTCAGTTCGGCCCAATGGTGGGTTCATTTTTATCATAAAACATACCTAATGACAATAACTGCTTGATGTCCAGCCCCTGAGCTCTTGGCTTTCAGTAACTGTGCCCCCCTGAGAAGTTTAGTTGAAGAGCCTGACTAAGACTATGTGTTGTGAATGACTCTCAGCTACTACCACACATAATTTTAGCTGTAAAACCGACAAAGTTACATCCATTTGTGCATTAGCTAATGCTGACTGGCTGTGGCAGACATCTTTAATTGATTATCCTCCAAACTGGTATAGAAATTTGTTTGCTAACCGTTTCTTTAAAATTCATGTGACGGCTCGTGACACATTTTCAACTCATAAACAAGGTCAAAAACATTATCGCCTGCCTTTCAGCTTTCAGAGGTATTGAAAATAAGCCCTCGGTGTTGAGTGACGTCCACCTCAGTTGCGCCCTCCTCTCCAACATGGCTCAGATGTTACAGTCATGGGCCTCTAAATGGAGCGACACCAGCCTCGACCTCGCTCTGAGAGCCATTAGAAGAAAAGGCCAAGTAATTCCAGCCTAATGGAGCACACGCACGAGGAGCCACACGAAGGCAAATTAACAGACTGAGTTGCTGCTGGTTTGAAAAGAAAAAGCAAAGCAAAGCTCCGGGGTCAGGGGTCAGCTGGCTGAGCACGCATGTCACCAGCTCCATTCGGACCTGCCTGCTCGCACCATCAGCAGGTGTATAAATATGTGTCATGTTTCACGCTCCGTGTCTGCGGGGACAGGGAGCCAGATGGGATTTTAAATGCTACATTTCATGTGGTAACATTTAGTAGGTTAGTTCACCCCTCATTGGTCTGCCATCTGCTGCCTTCTCAGTCTGCCGTGGAAGCTGGTGTGTGCACGCTCCTGATCTCTCTGCCAGAGCATCTCCAGCAGTTTGCATCACAGTGCGCACGCACACACACACACACAAACCATCCTACACAACTTAACGAAAGGTGGATTCCTGCTTGTTGCAAAGCAGGTTCAAGGCAGTAACAGCCAACACGTGCATTCTGTGGTGACGTGCAAAGACGCCAAGAAGAAGCACGTATTCAGCACTTACCATGAAATGTACAGCTCATGAGCTTCTTTATTTTTACCTTCTTCATTGTCTTGTTTTTGATGACAGTTTTGAAAATAACAACATTGTTGGTAGCTGATTTTTACGCATGTGAATGTTTCTGTTCAGTGACCTGAGACGACTTCTGTTGTCAATTGGTGTTATTTATAAATACACTGAATTGAAATGAATTGAATTCCTTTGACAGCCCCTCCCCCCCCCTAAAAAAAAAATCATTTGTGCAAATGGTCACAAGCAGTTAGACACCCAGCCAATGTCCCCTCCCTTTATTGACGGGCTCCCTTTATCACTGCTGGCCTCGCCATCCAAATACATGGAAATAACAGTGATCCACGCACACGCACACGCACACGCACGGTTCCACTGGCCTCTTCAGACATACTTTTTTTTTTTTTTTTGTCTTGTGTGACGTTAGCTCCCGTTTTAAAGCCCATAAACTAACAATAATTCCTCCTGAAATGAGGGGGAGGCAGGTCAACGTTTCAGAAGTTGTTTTTTTTTTTTTTTTGGCCACAAATTTTCCAGACAAAATTAAAAGTCAAGAAAAATGTGACTAGCCCATAATTAATATTAATTAGGCTGAAGGGAGCCACAGTGAGTGTCAGAGCAGTCTACAGATGAGGATGAGGAGTAAAGAGGAGGAGGAGGGGGGGCGACTTTGAGGTGACATTGAGGCTGTGGAGTTGAGTCTCTGGCTCTTGATGTCAGACAGTCGCACGAGGCGAAGCGGCCGCTGCTCTTCATCCAACCTCCTCTTTTTCTCCTCCTCCTCCTCTTCTTCCTCCTTCTGCTCTTCAGCACTGCTCCCCGCTGGACAGCTCCTGCTTGGACGCTTCTCCCCCACCCCCTCCCCTCAACACACACACACGCGCGCCCGCGCGCGGACACACCTGTGCGGTCACCAAGGCTCCTCAGTAAGACTTTTAATGGAAGTAAAGTCCGCTGGTGTTTCAAGGAGCACCGGGAGTTTACAACTTGAGCCCCACGAGGGATCTGCCGCGTTTGGAGGTTCGTGGCGCGCAGCGGGTCCTCGGAGGCGCGCGGCTCGCATTCTCTGTGAGTACAACCGAGTCTCTGCAGGTTCTGTGCGCGTGCAGTATCTCGTCATTAACGCGTGAGAAACGCACGCTTTGCATGCATTTGTCGCGTGAGCGCAGAATGAGTGGACGGGTTTGGATCTTTAAAAGCAACAATCTATTTGTAATTACGCGCAGAATCGATGGCTGCGCGCGTGAGTCTGTTTGGATGCTGCAGATGTGCAGACGCATTCTGCTGCTCTGTGAATCGGGCTGAACGTGCGCAGACGGACCCGTAAAGCTGTTACGCATTTGGACATCCTTTTTGTTTTCCACGGTTTTTGTTTTTTTTAATTCCTCCCAGTCCTCTTGCTGTTGCTTCCAGTTCTGGTGAGGTGCTGGGAGAGTCTGGAGGTGGTAAGCTGCTGCTTCATGTGCTTCATTCTCATAGGCTAGACGGTGTTGGTACGGCGCGTCCTGCGCTTCAAAGTGCACGTTTTGGATCCTCTGATCTTCATTTAACTTTGTTTCCTCTCTGCTGCCACTCTCATCTCTCGCTCTCTCTCTCCTTCTCTCACCCCTTCTTTATGTTTGCTTTTGGGCATATTTAACTGCAGACTTTGTTTGGACTATCTGGTGTTTTTTTGTTGGTGTTTTTTTTTATTTGGCTGTTGGATAATCTGTCTGTCGTCTGGCATTGGAGGCAAGTCAGCAGCATTATTCTTGGCGTTTGTTCACTGGTCATGGATGGAGCCAAATGATGAAATGTGCATTTAAAGTTGAAGAAAGATTCATTGATTGATTTGCTCTGCTTTGGCTCAGTGTGGAAGAATCTGTGCTGAATGGCTGATCTGTGCGCACCCCTTCTGTCCACGATCCTGTTCTAGGTTAACCGCGACTGACCAGGCGCGCGCGTGGATTTGTGCGTGTGTGTGCGCGCGCGCAAAAGGCTCCACATCCGAAGACATTTGGTCCGAAGGTCAAAAAAATAAAGATCAAAAAAACCGCGAAGCTGCTGTCTGCGTGGACCGGTGCTGAAGTCTCCCGTCCCACGGCCAGGACCTTTGCCAAATCCAGAGACATGGCGACGAACGGCACCAAGACGGACGGACAGGTGACAGAACTGAACGAAGTGGGGGCCACCAACAATGACAAGCCCAAATCACTGGACGTGAAGTCCGAAAAGACGAAAAGGGAGGTGCCGGCCAGAGAAACATGGGTGGGAAAATTTGATTTCCTCCTGTCTTGCGTGGGTTATGCAATTGGACTGGGGAACGTGTGGAGATTTCCCTATCTGTGTGGGAAAAACGGTGGAGGTAAACATATTTGTCTTTTTCTTTTCTTTTTTTACTCCTAATCTATTTACTGTTCAGCTCTCATTTCCATTTGTCCCGTTCCACTGAGGGGGGGATTATAAATGCAAAACTTGATGTGCTCTCGTCCACCCAGGAGCCTTCTTGATCCCTTATTTTTTGACCCTGATATTTGCTGGGGTCCCATTGTTCTTACTGGAATGCTCCCTTGGCCAGTACACGTCAATTGGAGGACTTGGTGTGTGGAAACTGGCTCCTATATTTAAAGGTATCCATGAAGCACATTTCAGATGACCATGTAATAAAATACAAACCAAACTCAGTTTGCTTGGTTCCATCCAAATCCCTTCTCTTGTGTGGCAGGTGTGGGCCTGGCAGCAGCCGTCCTCTCCTTCTGGCTCAACATCTACTACATTATAATCATTGCTTGGGCCATTTACTACCTGTACAACTCATTCACCACTGTAAGTATGAGCTCATTAAGCTCAACCCATAAGGTCAAACTCATGAGCTATGCAATAACGCTGTTTAATAAAGGGCGCCTGAAACGTTTCTTTTTCTTTCATTTCTCAGGAACTCCCTTGGAGCTCGTGTAATAATCTATGGAACACAGAAAAATGTTACACAAACTACTCCATCGCTGATACCACCAACCTCACCAGTGCTGTGGTGGAGTTCTGGGAGTAAGATATTGACCGTTGTCTGCCTCCCTTAATTTAATTAAAATCAGCCTCCAACGCTGCATGTTTGATTTTTCTCTGTGTCATTGTTGCTCTGACTTAAAGGCTCAACGTGCACCAAATGACCGACGGCTTGGAAAAACCAGGCCAGATCCGAGTGCCACTGGCAATAACTCTGGCCATCGCCTGGGTCCTCGTGTACTTCTGTATTTGGAAAGGGGTTAGCTGGACAGGGAAGGTAAGAGGGCTGGTAGTTTTCCTTTTGTCGGTTTCTAATGAGGAGCTTGTGACACCTATGCAATATTAAACAGTCTAATATTGCCCTCATAAATCATTTAGATTGAACTGAACCAGGCCCAGGTTTGATTTTTTTTTTTTTAAATAAGAGACATCAACTTCACACGTTCCCCTAATCCTGTTCTGCCTCTCGGTGGTGCTTCTCTAATTCCGATTCTCCTGACACATTTTTCCAAACGGAGTGTGGATTTGTGATAGGAGGAGCAGTAATCTGGATTTGTTCTCTCCCCTCACTTCCCAAGTGGGGCTACATTTTGAAAAGTCGAGTTCATCACGTGACCATGGCGAACATTATTTGTTGTGGTCAAAGCATGCTCACATTCCCCCTGCACGTTCTGCCCACTGAACGCTCAGACTGTGTCATAAATGCACCAAAACAGAAAGAGCTGGCACAAAATGAATTTTTTTATTTATTTTGTGGTTTGTCACAAAAACCTAAAGAAACGTTACAGGCCTCATGAACATTTACGCTCCAGAGTCACCATTTCATGGGTTTTTCCCTCTAAGATGCATTCATGCCCTCCTGCTGATAACTGCGTTCCATTTTACAGGTCGTTTACTTCTCGGCCACGTACCCTTACTTCATGCTGTTCATCCTCTTCATTCGTGGGGTGACTCTACCTGGAGCTAAAGAGGGGATTTTGTTTTACATCACCCCCGACTTTGAAAAGCTGAAAGAATCAGGGGTAATGACATTATTATTATTAATATTATTATTATTATCTGATTCCTGCGTTTGTGCTGCATGCTGCCTGGGTGAGAAGAGCTTGGCTGAATTTCTGTGTTCCCTTCCGTCAGGTATGGCTGGATGCAGCCACCCAGATCTTTTTTTCCTACGGGCTGGGACTGGGGTCACTTATAGCCCTGGGCAGCTATAACACCTTCCATAACAACGTTTACAGGTAAGACTGCATTTTTCATGAACTGCATGGGATTTATGGGATGAGGCAAAACACACATCTGACAATTGCACATGTGAAACTGTTGCTGTTTGAAACTGAAAAGTGGCTCATGGGCTGAAGTAACAGACTAGTTCATGTGGCTTTGTGTCATCAGTGGCACAACAAAGTAAGGTGGAGGCTGTTTGGTTGTGTCTGGGGGGGGTTCTCTGACAGCGTCATGCTTCTGGGTCACATAAACAGCCGCTTATATAAAACCGTTGCATTGGGTTTGTGTTTTCGGTGAGCTTGTTTCAAAATCATTCTTCTCTCTATCATTATGTAAATGATTTTATCATTTTGCCTTGAGTGCATACATAAAACGGTTAATATCTGCTGAAAGGGCTGCACAAACAGTCATGAAGAGCTCCTGCAGCTCCTCGTGCAGTTTTTTAAGACGGTCTGTACTGAATGTGTGTGTGTGGGGTGGAGGGGGGGGGGGGGGGCGTGAATTTAAGCGTTTAACAGCAGCCCCCATTTTATATTTCCTCTCCCCAGAGACTCAGTCATCGTGTGCTGCATCAACTCGTGTACCAGCATGTTCGCTGGCTTTGTAATCTTTTCCATTGTTGGCTTCATGGCGCATGTGACAAAGAAAGACATCGCGGACGTAGCAGCTTCAGGTAACTGCAGGCGGCTCTGCTCCTGTGATGTTTCTGTCCAATTTCCTGCTGCTCCGTCATCATTCGACACAAATAAACGTCATTGCCGTCCAGAACGATCCGACTGAAACTAAAAAAAATAAATGTTTCTGTTCACAATCCAGGTCCTGGTTTAGCGTTCCTTGCGTACCCGGAGGCTGTAACCCAGCTGCCTGTCTCACCTCTCTGGGCCATTCTGTTCTTCTCCATGCTGCTCATGCTGGGGATAGACAGCCAGGTAAAGGGGCTCGCTGATGATCTGCTCATGGGCTGACCTAAATATTTAAAAGCAGTTACAGAACACGTAGCCCACCTCTGCTCCCTGCATGATAAAGCGTGCAATTTGCCTCTCGTGGACAGACTGGGCTGACAATAGCTGTCAAAGTATTTTTTTAATGCGACTTTGACACCTCCATATGCCTACTGGCACCGCTTTGGGTTTCTTTATTTTGTGATTTGAATAAGGTTGCACTGACCGTGACGATGCACACTTCAGAGTGAAAGACGGACGTTACAAGCCTGTTCTAAATGTCATAGCAACGGCGCTTTTCCCTCATTGCTAAAGAGGCTCACAGAGGGAGCATGCTCGGTCAACAGGGTTATCATAAACAACGTTTTAACCATGGGCGCACTGCAACCTCTTCATTCTCTTTTTCTATACAGTTTGCACAATCCTCCCAAATAAACTACCCCTCTCCTCTTCTACAAAGCCTTTGTGTAGAGAGGAATGTAAAAGCAGAGGGATGTGAGCACACGGTGCTCCATTTAAAGGTGTTTGTGTGATTCTGTCCAGTTCTGCACCGTCGAAGGCTTCATCACTGCCCTCGTGGATGAGTTCCCCAGGGTTCTGAGAGGCAGACGAGAGATCTTCATCGCTGTTGTCTGTCTGGTGTCTTATGTGATCGGACTCTCGAACATCACACAGGTACAGCAGTTAGGCTCTCAGGTTGGGGCTGACTGTTTAGCGTCCATTTAAACGGGTTTTGTTCTGGTTCTTTAAAAAGCACATCTTGACTTTCTGTCTTTCTCAAACCGCTCCTTTTGATGAACATCAGGGTGGAATCTATGTCTTCAAACTGTTTGACTACTACTCTGCCAGTGGGATGTGTCTGCTGTTCTTGGTCTTCTTTGAGTGCATCTCCATATCCTGGTTTTATGGTGTGTATTGTGACTGTTTCTCACAAACGTTACCTTACAAAGTTATATTAAAAGCTTAGATTTTGGAATATATCTTAAATGTTAGTTAAAGGCTGAGCAATCCTTGAAGAAATGATTAATACCCACTGACATTCGTACCGATGTTTTAAACTGTGAGCTCATTTCCGTGTTGAAAAACCATGAAGCTATGGTCGTTTTGGTCCAATATTAATAACAATGTTATGCATGATCTCACACATTACCAGAACCATGCGGTCTGTTAGTGCTCTGATTATAGATTGGGGATGACTCTTGGTTACTGCCACACCAAACCTTAGATCAAAATCTGTAAAGATTGCATTATAGCCACCATTGTGTTGGCTTAGGTTGATTGGTAGTGGCAGCCATTTTGAATCCAAAATGGATCCAAAAGTGGATCAGTTGTAGGACATATTATTGATTGATGAATACTTTCTGGGAGTTCCGTTAAATTTAGAATCAGAGTCTGAATCAGAATAAGTTTTATTATCGTTGCACCAAAATACAGTGAGATTATGTTCGTACAGTTGTCCGAAAGATGGTCGGAGTGCACGTCGCTGATGCGCCTAAAAGCGCGGCCTCTTATTCTTTTAAATAGAAAAGGCGAAAGGCCATGAGGAGAGGATTACAAAAAAGATCTCTCCACACCATGTCCATCAAAAAACTCTGCCAGCAAGCACATTTATAGATACATCACATATGCATTTGATGACAAGACAGTGATATTTGTCCATGAAGCACTTCCAGATAGCACCATAGTCCTGTTAAGATGTGGGTGTCACTCGGTAGAGCTCTGATAAGCATTCACAGAAGTTATCAGGAGTGCTAGGTTGAGCCTTCTTAGTTTATACATTTCATATCATCAAGTGGTTAAAGATATATTTTGCTAACAGACAGAGTTAACTCCTGTGTACACTGCTTTACTCTCAGCTACTACCACATCAACTTTCAGGTCAATATCCATCAAACTGGTTGAGTTAAAGATATATTTGCTTTATGACTTTTAAGATAAATTGACTGTGACAGCCATTTTGAATGGGTTTGATTCCAAAACCCTTTCAGCTGTAAATACATACCCATTGATTAATTTATGAAAGTTTTATTAATATCTGACCACTATCCTGATGCATGCTCAATAATCCAGGTAGAAAAATCCAACAAGGTTAAGTCAGGTGCGCTGGATGGATTCTTGTCCAAGAATTCGTCCAGCGCACCTGACTTAACCTTGTTAGACCTGGCCACCAGTCCATGAAATGTTTTGCTAACAGACAAACAAATGAACAAACACAGACATGATTACCTGCCCTTCCCGACATCCTTGTAAGATATGACATGAACAATCTCATCATAGATCTGTTTTTCTGGCAGGTGTGAACAAGTTCTATGACAACATCCAGGAGATGATTGGCTACAGGCCCTGTATATGGTGGAAGCTGTGCTGGGTGGTGTTCACCCCTCTCATCGTCGCAGTGAGTACTTTGAGCTAATAGAACAGTACATCTAAAGTCATGACACGAAAACTGAAACAATAAATAAAGTCAATATTACCTGCCTGTGGCCACACCAGGCTGAGACAGTGCTGCCTGTAGTTAGACGTGTCAGGATGCATAAAGCGCCTCTTGTCTCCCACAGGGGGTGTTCTTGTTCAGCGCCGTCCAAATGGTTCCTCTCACGATGGGAGACTATGTGTTCCCGGGCTGGGGTCAGGGAGTAGGTTGGCTCATGGCACTGTCCTCTATGGTTCTCATACCAGGATACATGGTCTACATGTATTTTGGTCTCAAGGGCACTTACAAGGAGGTAAAACATGAATCTTTTGTTGGGTAACAGATTTTGTTAATCTACATTGACAGATTTTTACACTGTAGCTTGTTATATTGGCTGTTTTGTTATCTCCCCTCCACAGCGACTTCGAATAATGTTTAAGCCTCCTACGGTCACCAAGCGATGTCAAGAGAATGGACCTGAGCAACAGGTGGAGACCAATACCACTAATCTCTCCAGCCCCGCCAATCCCACCAGCCCCGCTAATCCAGCTCCTGCAAACCCTGCCAGCCCCACTAATCCGGCTCCGGCTAACTCAACAAGCCCGGTGACGCCCGCTAACGCAGCCTCGCCACCGGCTAATCCAGCCTCCGCATCTAGCCCGGTGACAAGCCCTCCCGCCACCATCACCACCACGGTCACCACGGCTAGCCCAGCTAACCCCCCAACCACAACTGTTAGCCCAACCAGCCCGCCTCCCAACCCAACCAGTCCAACGGAGCCCGTCAGTCCCCCAAACCCAACGAGCCCAACTTCTAACCTGACCAAGGCCGAGGCCAACGTGTAGTCAACAAAGAAACCCCCTCGTGGAGCATTTAGGCAAACTAGAACATTGCAAAGGACTTCTAAGATTTTAGTTGATTCACCTACCTCCGAGGGCAACATGTGATCAAAACCGATTTCCAAACCACATTTCATTTCTCTGCGTTTGTTAATTGGAGCCAATGATGTCTTATTGTTGGTTTGCATCCTGAAAACAAAATCAAAGACTGTTAGTGTTGAAAAACCACAACCGTCATTCTGAATTTTAAAAAAAAAGCAAGAAAAAACTATGTAAACATACTGTGTAATACTGTGAGAAAAGAAGAAAAAACCCTTAGAGATATAGATTAGAGGTTTGTTGAATATCTTCATGAATCAAGTAAATACCGTGTGACTTTAGTAGATTAGGTAGTAAACAAACTTGACATCATAGGAGCGTGCGAGGGATGGCGTCAAATTTTTTTGTGGATGTTTACGAAAACCTCACGCAGTCGTCTCTTCTCCAAACGTTTCTCTCTGTGAGGTAAACTACAAGCCGCGGGGCAAACGGGGAGCTCTGAGTAAGCACAAAGCCAGGAAGAGGTTCACGTTTAGGAGCAATCCGGCGTTTGTCGCAAAAGATTTCGTGTGTGAGAGAGACTGTTATCTGTCCTTCCTTTTTTCTGTGAAAAAAACAAAAACAAAAACAAAGAAGATAAAACTTTTATGTGATCAGAGCATTTTTAGAATTATTTTTAGGATGTTTTATACTATATATATAAATATATATATATATATATATATGTTGTAATGGAGGACCAAATTTATAAGGCAGACAAAAGTAAAAACTATGCCGTTCAGTATTCGGTTGGCAAAGCACAGGGTACAAAGAAGTACAATAAAAAAGAAGAGTAAGCACAGGGTTAGGGGAGAGATTTACTAACGTCGACTATCCCGTATAATGCTGACAGTCAATCCTGTTTACGTTTTGCATGTTTTTCCTCAGGAACAAAGTTTCTCAAATGTCTCCTGACAAAGTAAAGAAGAACAGAGAAGGCCTTAAGCCAACATACACATTTTTAGCCAAGCCGTAGTCTGTTTACACGACTGGGCAGAAGTATGAAATGCCACTTTGTATGCTAGCACAATAAATAATAAGACAAAAAATAGTAGATATAAATGTATAAAAACGGGTCCAACTCTGTGTTAAAGTGCAGTCATGGTTTTTTACTTTTCTGTATGTGTCACGGTCAGTCATAGTTCGATCAGTATGTATCCAGCAATACATATGTAGATGTTCGAGTGCAGGCCGGTAAACAAGAGGTCTGTTTCTGTTCTTGTTTCAGTTGTCTTTGCTTTAACTCGAGCGAGAAGCACAAAGCTTTAACTTCCCCAGACGGTTTGCTGTGGCGTGTTTCAGACAATGTTAGTTCGCTTCTACGGCAGCTACCGGGAAGCATCTGGTTTTACTTTGAAAAGCAAAACAACTCGAGTGAAAATGGGAAACGGCTCCGGTTCACGTCCTGCGAATTTTGTACAAAGTTACTCCTACCGCAGTTTCTCTCTGGAAGTTCGTTGTAAAACCGTACCGTGTAAAACATGTAACTGTGAATGTCTGTACTACATTGGAAGTTATTGTCTAAATGTTGAAAAAATGGAGTTGCTGTTTTCTGCAATAATATTTTGATCACAGAAGCTAAAGCACATATCTAACAGAAGTATAAGAAACGATGATGACAATGAGAAGATATTGATGATTATATTAAAAATAGAAACTATGTCTAGTTAAATTATAATGTTTTGTATATTTTTAACTGTCTCACTGCCTAATGTAAAACAGTATATAAACATGATATGTATCTAAATGGTGTCAAATGATAAAGCACGATTGTTATGTTATACAAACAGAGAAAAAGACTAAAAAAATAAAGAGTTATAGAAATTATAAATACAACACATGGCTGGCATATGTCCCTAAAAGCAAATGTTTTTTTAACTTAAAGACGTTTCTGGTAACGTTGCCAGAAAATTAGGTCAACTATCTTATTAAAAGATGTACGCTGCTCTGAATCCTCCTGCAGTAATTTGGCTGTTGATTCCTCTCTTGTAAATAAACCCGTGTCCATGGAGTATTTCCAGTCAACAGATATAAGAAAAATGGGAGAACAATAAAATAATGAGGATATTATTAGGTGGAGGAAATCAAAGCTTACATTGTCTATGGGTTTATTTTACAGCAAGGCTTTTCCTCAGTTGATGAAGGTCAAGATGGAATCCAGGGCAATATCTCTCAGAGTGGGGTTCTGTTGGAAGTTTATAAACAAAAAACACCTTACCTGTTGCAGATAACACTTTTATTTGTCTCAGTTTGGAGATATGGTCCAATTCTGAGCAGACTGATGAGCTAACGGCTAGTCCGAGCGAGACCAAGATTAACGTGCTGCCTTGTTAAAATGCTCATGCTAATTCAAGTAAACTGTTTTTAGTCTTAATATCACTGCCAGTTTTGCATTACATGGTTTTCCCAGCAGACATATTTTGTCATTTCTTCCAGAAGTGCTCTAAAATGCACAGGACGTGCTACAGCTATAGCTGCTTCTGCTAATTGCACATGGCCACAGATTTGTTTTCAGTATAACCAAATTAAAAATAAATGGAAATAAAACAGCTTTCTGAAAAACTGAGACAGCAATTTAAATTAAACTTGATTTTTCCAAAGCGAGTCCTTTCAAAGAACTTCTCTTCAACAGGTAAGATATTAACTGTTCAAAACCTACACACAGAATCCCACAACTGTCACTCTAGTTCTGTCAGGTGGGGGTGTCCGAAAACAATAATTGTTACAATGCAATGAACAAAATAAAGAAGATATGAGAAGTAAGACATTTGAATCCCTCTGTGTGATTTATTGAGCATCCAGAGAAGAGCTGATAGAAAAGCCAAAAAAAAGAAACAGAAAAAAATCACAACAAAACAGCGCCGGCCTTGAGGTCTGGCGTGTTCGCCTGCCCCGTCTCCACATCTTCTTGTGTTTCTGTCTGTGTGTGTGTTTGTATGAGCTCGCAGCATCCACCCCCTCCACCCCACCCCCCGCAGTTGTTGCTTCCATTAGCTTCCAGTGTGATAAAAGAGACGGCACCAGCTGACACCACCACAATGACTCGCCGTGGATGAAAGAATGAGATGTCCCCTCTAGTAGCTCGTGGCAAACTGTGTGTTTGTAAGATGCCAATGTGTGTGTGTGTGTGTGTGTGTGTGTGTGCGCGCACATGGAGAAATAGAGACAAGTCAGGGACAGAAAGCTGTGTTTGACTGGACAGGGGGGTGTTGAAGAGTGGCCCTGATGGCAGCTCTTATAAAGTAGACCATGATGGATGACTCGGTGGCCTCCTTTATTCCTGGTTGTGTAATTTAGCATCATTACCTGTGAAAACAAGTCACTACCATGACAGCCCAGACTGATGCTGCACATCCAGAGAAGTCATAGATCATCGGAGGAAAGGAGGGAGATCTTGATTAGTTGGGAGCAATCTTGTGGAATACAGCTAGTCCTTGGTTGGAGGGCAGTTTTCTTCAGTTGTAAAGAGTCATTTTATTTTATTTCATTGCTAATGTTTTGAGGCACGGTATTTAAATTTATTTTTTTTTTTTACTGATCTTTAAAGATTGTTCGTCTCTTTGTTATCCTTCCTTTGAGTGTTCACAAATACAAAGTACAGGTGCTGGTCATAAAATCAGAATATCATGAAAAAGTTGATTTATTTCAGTAATTCCATTCAAAAAGTGAAACTTGTATATTATATTAATTCATTACGTACAGACTGATATATTTCAAATGTTTATTTCTTTCAATGTTTATGATTATAACTGAGTCCCTGTGATGGACTTGCAACCAGGGTGTACTCCGCCCCTCACACAGTGATTGCTGGACAAGTGCACCGGTGACCCCCGTGACCCAAAAAGGAAGAAGCAGGTAAAAGATAATGGATGGATGGATGGATGGATTATAACTGACAACTAATGAAAACCCCAAATTCAGTATTTCAGAAAATTTGAATATTGTGAAAAGGTTCAATATTGAAGACACCTGGTGCCACACTCTAATCAGCTGATTAACTCAAAACACCTGCAAAGGCCTTTAAATGGTCTCAGTCTAGTTCTGGAGGCTACACAATCATGGGGAAGACTGCTGACTTGACAGTTGTCCAAAAGACGACCAGTGACACCTTGCACAAGGAGGGCAAGACACAAAAGGTCATTGCTAAAGAGGCTGGCTGTTCACAGAGCTCTGTGTCCAAGCACATTAATAGAGAGGTGAAGGGAAGGAAAAGATGTGGTAGAAAAAACTGTACAAGCAATAGGGATAACTGCACCCTGGAGAGGATTGTGAAACAAAACCCACTCCAAGATGTGGGGGAGATTCACAAAGAGTGGACTGCAGCTTAAGTCAGTGCTTCAAGAACCACCACACACAGACGTATGCAAGACATGGGTTTCAGCTGTCACATTCCTTGTGTCAAGCCACTCTTGAACAAGAGACAGAGTCAGAAGGGTCTCGCCTGGGACTGCTGCTGAGTGGTCCAAAGTTATGTTCTCTGATTAAAGTAAATTTTGTGTTTCCTTTGGAAATCAAGGTCCCAGAGTCTGGAGGAAGAGAGGAGAGGCACAGTATCTATATTGCTTGAAGTCCAGTGTCAAGTTTTCACAGTCAGTGATGGTTTGGGGTGCCATCATATGCTGGTGTTGGTCCACTGTATTTTCTGAGGTCCAAGGTCAAAGCAGCCATATTCTAGGAAGTTTTAGAGACTTCATGCTTCCTGCTGCTGACCAAATTTATGGAGATGCAGATTTCATTTTTCAACAGGACTTGGCACCTGCACACAGTGCCAAAGTTACCAGTACCTGGTTCAAGGACCATGGTATCCCTGTTCTTAATTGGCCAACAAACTCGCCTGACCTTAACCCCATAGAAAATCTATGGAGTATTGTGAAGAGGAAGATGTGATACACCAGAGCCAACAATTCAGAAGAGCTGAGGCCACTATCAGAGCAACCTGGGCTCTCATAACACCTGAGCAGTGCCACAGACTGATTGACCCCATGCCACTCACTTTGGTCTTAGCTCAGCTCAAACCAGTCATTAGCTCAGTCTGGTCATAATTAAACTATATTCTTTCAACAGGTAAGATATTATTTGTTCATAAACCTTCCAAAAAACATCACAAAAGTCTGAACTATCGCTCCAACGTCTCAATCCCTGCAGGTGAAAACATAACGAGTCATAACATTCACAGTCTACATGTAGTTTCAGCTTTTTCTAAAGTCGAAGCAGCAGCTTAACATCTTGGTGGTTTCGTACCTGACTCATAGTCAGTCTTGTCTTATCTTTAGACACATTAAGGTGTTAAAATAAAAGCTTAATCCCAAACAGTGTGTAATGATGAGTAAGGATGTTTGGTTGGCAGCAGACGACATCCTGTGTAAATAAGTTTTGCCTTTAATACTGTCCCTGGCATTGCTTTAACCCAGAATAGACTTGAAAATGTTTTTAAAAAATGAGTCTGTCTTTGGCCTAAAGGAAAGACATGATCTGATTCTAATATTTAAAACTTGCTTCAAGTTCATTTTGGGTCCAATTACAGAACATGAGGGTTACGAGAAAATGAATCATCAATGAGAACTCGTGTTAGTGCTGAGACGCTGACAGCCTTAAAGCCCTGGAAAAGCAGAGGATGGAAGAGTCCGATATTTTTTTCTTTTTGCAAGGGTCAAGATTTTATTTTCAGCATATCACCAAATCATCAGCATAGATACATCGCCACCTTTCAACTGTTTTTCTTTTTAATACTGTATATTAAGCTGTAGCGACCGACTGACTTTCCAAAAATGAACGCTGCATCTGTGTTCAAGTAAACGAACATAGCTCCATAATGCTTTGATCTTTGAGCCTGAACACCAGAGAAGTAAAAACTACAGAGCTGGTGTTTTTGACTGGTTGCTCACAAGACAGTCATTTGCGCATTGATATAATTTTTAAAACATTGCTACCGTCTATGGAGCAACTCGGAAGCTGGAATGATCTGACTTCTCACAACGTGTGGACAAGACGCATCACCAAATCGTTTGTTTGATTCACAGCCAGCCATTCAAACACAAAAATGTTGCTTTGAAATAAATAAATAAATAGATTGGTTCCGTCCAGTTCTGTTTTATTGTGTCTAACAAACACTTCCATGTCCTAGTAGAGTCAACGTCACCTGGATCTGTCTACAGGAGGTCCAGCTGAGGTAAACCCGACTACTGTGGAGTCTCAGTTGAAACAGTTTGTGGGGGATCACGCTATCCTAGAGTTATTCCAATCTGGCTTCAAATCTCGCCATAGCACTGAAACTGCTCTACTGAAGGTTTTTAACGACATTTTCATTTCCACAGACGCAGGTGATTCTGTGCTGTTGGTCCTATTGGACCTTACATCTGCTTTTGACACCATCGACCACAACATCCTCATTTCTAGACTGGAGCAGTGGGTGGGCATCACAGGGTCAGCCCTTAAATGGTTTGGGTCCTACCTATCTGACAGAACCTTCTGTGTCAATATCAAAGATTCTAGTTCGGCATAGAGAGCGCTCCAGTGGGGGGTACCGCAGGGGTCCATCCTCGGTCCCCTTC